AGGCAATTATTGGTTTTCACATGTTGAGTGTTTTACAGCGCGTAGGAACGCGCTATAAAACGCCCTGGTGTGAACCAGGCCTTAAGCTTGCATTATCGACATGGATAGTCTGCTTACAAAATTACTGGCACTAAACTCAGGAGTTAAATCTTAAAAATACATTCAGGTACCTCCACTATTAACAAAAATTTATCTTATTTGTGTATCACTCGGCTGTAGATCCTCAAATCATCTCTGAATTGGTGCTGACACTGTCCTTCCTTCTGGAGGGTGGCTACTTTTCTTCCCCATAATCCCTGTGTGTGTTGCAAAATAGTCATTGCTCGAAGCTTGTTGCTGTGATGGACTACAATGTCAATACAAATTAGTAAACGTGAGACTGTAGTCCAACATTTTTGATAGGGTACTTGAATTTTTAGATTTAAAGTGATATTAAAGTCAAAAATATTTCAAATGCTGATGAAATCACTTACAATGGGTGCTGCTACCTTCAGAATCAGCTGGTCCTTGAGCACTGGTCCTGACTTCCTATTTAAAGCTGGCCATACATCTTAGAATTATCTGCAGATTTTCTGTGGTCAGATGGAAAAGGTGCAACAGATTCCTCCATCTACAATTAAAGTGGTTCTAAACCCTCCCGGTTTTTTGCCTATATCTACTGCTGTCAAGCAGTAGATATAGGCAAAAAGTAAAAAAAAAACAAAAAAAACGCTTTAACATTTACCTTGTTTCTGCTGCGCGCTCCCGTCCGAGAAAACGAAAGTGGTCCGGCGGCGCAAAGCATCTTGGGGCGGGCACATGCGCAGTTCAGGGAGACGAGCAGGCCGGGAGACGAGCAGAGACGCAAGGTAAGTCTATGGATGCGTGCACCCGCATGCAGACACCGCTGGATCGGAAGTGCCTGCAAGCAGAGAGGAGTCAGTGCTGGATCGGAGACCCGCCGCACCGCTGGAGGGACAGATGAAAATATGGGGAAAGAAGAAGAAGATCGGATTAAGAGACATCATTTAAGGTAAGTGCTGACATTAACATGGGGGGAGGAAACATTTTTTTATCCTTTAATGTCACTTTAACTGTGTGGATGGAGTAATCTCCACCTGGGCCAATCTGTTGCACTTTTTACATCTGACCACAGAAAATCTGCAGATAATTGTACGGTGTGTGGGCAGCTTTAGAGTGACTCCTTTCTCAAGCAGAGTGCTATGCAGCCACCCTTGTGTGTACTAGTAAACTGTGTGTATCTCCACAAACACACAGACACAGCAAATCAAGCTACCCCCGCCCCCCTCCTCCCGTCTAGTAGATGAACAGTTTCTGAAGTCTGCTGAGGGCCGTCCCGAGGCTGGGTGACACCCGGAGCGGTTACCACGCGCGCGATGACGTCGTCGCGCACGCGCAGCACTCTTCTGATACCTGCCGGCGGGTACTGTCCCCTCCTCTCTCTCCTGATACTGTCAGGCGTTCGGTCCATGACCGAGCGCCCGACTTTTCAGAGGCGGTGACACCAAATTGACTGTCGGTCATTTTGGTGTCACCCCTCCAAAGGTATCACCCGGGTGCGGCCCGCACCCCCCTTGTGACGCCACTGAGTCTGCTATATCCCTTGTGATCTTGTACTGAACAGGAAGTTCAGGGAAGCTGAGCCGAGAGACTTGGAAGCAGCTGTTCACAAACATGATGACTGTAAGTGTGTGGGCAAAAATGTAAAGCAACGATTTTTCTCTGCAATGTATATTTGATCTGGATTCATTATTAGAGAAAAGTTTGAGAGTGTAATACTACTTTAACTCCTGAGTTTAGTGTCACTTTAAATATTAGCTGCGTCACTGTTGTGTGTATCATCTTACTTTAGATCATCTTCAACTAGTGCGATGAAATATAGTTAGTCTTGCTATAGAAACATTAAGGGGGACATTTATCAAAACTGGAGCAAACTGAATCTGGAGCAGAGTTGCACTGCAGCCAATCAGCTACTCTCTTTCATTTTCAAATCATACTTAAGCAAGCTGAAGAGAGATCCTGATTGGTTGCCATAGGCAACATCTCCAGATTCAGTTTGCTCCAGTTTTGATAAATCCCCCTCTAAGAGTCTTAGTAAATAAGTCATTGGAAGCAGTGGGTAGGATGATTCCATGACATGAATGGTAGAAAGGACCCCTGTGTTGTTCTGGTGTGTTGTAATAATTAGCACATCTCCTGAGCAGGGTGTTACCAGATGGTGAACTGGAGACTACAGCTGGAAAAGCTGAAAGGGTGGAACTGATCGACACTGAGAAGGCCAGCACGCTTTCTGACTGCTCAGTGGTATTTCTGTCTTTATTACAACCCAGCACAGTTCACTGAAATCTTTACACATACTGACAGGATTCAGAAAGCAGCCACAAGAAATGGCAATGTACACATTTCAGCATGTGTGCTCCTGGTAGGCTGATCGCTTTCATTCAGTATTAGTTCTGAAGGTGAAATATAGTAAATCATTTATCTTTAGGCAGAACTGAAATCTAAAGCTGGCCATACTTTATGCAAATTTCTTCAGGAACCCTTTTAGCCGGCGTGCCTTGTTCAGCTGATCGAAGGAGCTGGTCGGAAAATCTTCCAACAAACATAGTCAGCCGCCAATGAGGCTAGGTTCACACCTAGACACCTCACCGCGCGGCAATCGTGCACAATTCCGCACGGATTGCCGTGCAGTCAGGAGTCACCAAGGTGTGAACCGATTGCGCTGAGGGTGCCATTATTTTTTAATGGCACCCCAGTAGCTCTGGGCAGATTGCACGGTTTCCCGCCGCGATTCCACAGCCGCACGTCGTGTATCGGACCGCACGATACCTGGGAAGCGTGTGCCGGGTGTCTTGCGGTGTAGTGCAGGTGTAAACCTAGCCTGAGCCGGCGGCCACTGTCAGGATACAAAGAAAGCAGTGGCAATCCTCTGATCAACGCTCAAACGTTTATGGAGGAATCTGCTCTATTTTTTTTTTGTTCAGCACGTGGGTTGAATGAAAAATATAGAAGCGTGTATGGCCAGTGGCGTCACAAGGGGGGTGCGGCCCGCACCCGGGTGACACCATAATGACTCACAGTCATTTTGGTGTCACCCCCCTCTGAAAATTCGGGCGTTCGGTCATGGACCGAACGCCCGACAGTATCAGGAGAGAGGAGGGGACCCGGCGGCATACCTTATCCCTCCAGGTGACTGTCCCCTCCTCTCTCTGCCGGCGTCCATCACCAAGATGGCCGCCAGCAGGTATCAGAATACTGCCGCGCGTGCGTGATGACGTCACGCGCATGCGCAGTGACGTCTCGGCGGGGTGACACTCGATTACCGCTCCGGGTGTCACCCAGCCTCGGGACGCCCCTGTGTATGGCCAGCTTAAGACTACATTCACATGGGGCATAGAATATGCAGGAATCCCATGTGCGTCCCAGGACTTGGGCCCGTTCAACTGAATGACAAGGTGACAGCGGCCACATCTGTCCTGCGTCAAGGGACAATCACCACATGTTACTAATTGTATAATCTCTTTCAGATCTACCAGCTGCTATGTAGTAGAAGACCCCTTCTGGTGACTCTTTTGGTGAACTTTTTTTGTTCCGACATCGCAGCCTTTTTCGTTCAAACAGCCCATCTTGCACAGACCAATGTAGTTTGCAATTATCATTTGTCAGCACCACAAACTGGACGATTTTTGTCAATCCAACGACGAAATTTTCGTGTGCGCATGCGCAGTTTCATTGTGCGATTTTCGTTGTATGAAAACGCCAATAATCCGTCGATTTTCGTCCAACTTGTCAAAAATTTTCTAGGCTGCTGGAAAGGTGAAAATCGTCCAGTTGTACAGTAATTGCGGTTGTGCACTGCCAATCAACTGGCCAATTATTGCATAAAACCACGATTGTGGACGGAAATCGTGCAATAATTGCAAGGTGTATGGGCAGCTTTAGGCTGGCCATACACTGATCTATTTTATTGTTCAAACCGTGGGATAACAGCGTGTCTGTTTACATACAGCAGCCGCTGTCAGAATACTGGACCAGAGCGGACAGCTCATTGGCTGCTGGCTCTGATCGATCGAAGATATTCCGGCTGGCTCCTTCGATCAGCTGATCGAGGGATGCTGATTGAAAGGGTGCTGACAGCGGCACACTGTACGAATTTCGAACAGTGTATGGGCACCTTAACCTCTTGCCGTCCGCCCGTAGTAAAAAAACGGACGGACGGCATTGCAGCATCTGAGGCAATGCAGCATAAGTACCGCAGCGCTGAATACTGAAAAATGGCCTGGATGGGAAGGGGGTTTAACACCGCGGATGTCAACTGGTTAAGGCCCCACTTACCCTTGAGCTGTATGTCTTTGGATTTTTTTTTTTTTTTTGCATGTTTACAGATATTAAATTCTGCACATGTTTCAGGCTTCAGCGTTCAAAAAAAAAAGATTTGTAGCCAATGTAAAGCTACTTACTAGACAAAAGAACGTGTGAAAATGTTTTTGCTACGTAGGTTTTTCCCCCCACTTTAATTAAAGTTTATTGGGGCCAACGTGCTTGAATTTGCTCCAAAAGAAGCTCCTGTACTTTTTCCATCTACAGGCGTTTTGCTCAGATGTGAACAGGAGTCATTAAAAACAATGGGATTCCTCTTGCTCAATGTTGCAGCGTTTAGGTAATGGAGCTACAAAATGCCTAGGTGTGAATATGACGTCACCTGCATGGCACCCCATTGGAGCGAATGTTGCCTGCTATGTACTAGCTGTCATCCAGCTGTAGTAATAGCAATGTATGTATCTGTGGATGTGATCTCCTGATCATTACATCACGCAGTCTGGATTGTGCAGGGACCGTGTCATGACGTCATCCTCCCCGCTGTCACACTGACAGATGACGGTGAAGGTAAATGCGGTGAGGTCAGGGGGCGTGTAGCGGTGACGCAGTGCACCCGTAGAGGCGGTAGGGGGCGTCGTGCGCCAGCCTTCGCCTGTCCTCTCCCCCCCCGGTGGCTCCTCCTCCATCTCCCGGCTCCGATCATCACACGAACTATGTCCCAGGGCTGGCAGCGCTGGAGTTAGATGGACGCGTAATCATCCCCCAGCCTGGAGCCGGGACTCGGGCCGTCATGTCGGGCATGCAGGATGAAAGCTCGGTGCGGGTGGCTCTCCGGTAGGTGGTGGGAGATGTGCTGGGTCTAAAGGGGTCGGGGGAGGGGATACCCCCAGAGCAGCGACCGGCCAATCGCAGCAGCTGTGCGCAGAGATCACTGATGGTTGGGCTGCCATTGTGCACCTGTATTGTGTAGGCTGAGCTCATCTCACATGGTGCTCGGCTCATCTCCTCATCAGATGTCTAGCAGTGTCCAGTCACCTGATCAGGCCCAACCTGGCTGTCTGCTGTTGACATGTGCACAAGCCATTCATTCAGCTGCACCTGTCAGGGCCTAAACTGAGTAAATACCCAGCCTGGAAGATGCCTCGACCTTCACCTGTCATGCTGACCCCTTGTCTTTATTGCAGATGTCTGTGTGGCCCGGAATGGCTGGCTAAAATGTGCAACTTTAGCAGTATGCCAGCTTGTGGACATAGAGCCTGCAATCATTAACCCATTCATTTGTCCCAGCCCCTCCCCCAGTGTGCCCTCTGGGGTTGTTGTCACGGGATCGAGTAAACAATGCTTTCAAGGTCTGCTCTGAATGCTAAAAATGTGCTTCTGGTCATTTATCCTGATTGCAATGTGGAACTTATTTCAGTGCGCCATTCGCAGCAGACGTCTTCTTTTTGACCTTTAACGGGTTAGGTCAGTGGCTGCGCGAGGCAGATTTTGTAGAAAAACTGTTTATGCAGATTGTGGAGTGTTTCTGTGAAAGGCCACACACTTTGCTTCTTGTTGTTTTGGTTCAGCGTTGGGGGAAAAGGCTCCGAGATCATTTAGAGACATATTACACTTTAGGTTTAGCTGGACGGCGCAGGTGTTCTTTGTGAATGCGTTGGTTTTTAGGAGTATTTACTGAAAGAGAACCTGTCACGACTGGGTTTATGCTATGAGCTGAGTACTATTGTGCAGACTCTCCCAGGAATGGGGTTTGCTAAAAGAAGAAATCCTTGTAAATAGAAAACCTTCTTTTCCTTGGATATCTCTTTTTTATATTTCAGCCAGGACAAGTTCCTGAAATCCGTATTTCTATTAAATGATGATATAAGCTGAAAGATGAATTCAGGCTTGTAGTAAGAGTATCTGCTTCATAAGATAAATGGACAAAGTCCCAAAAGACTAGCTGCCATTGCTTGCTGACCACCTTCCCGAAAGACTAGCTGCCATTGCTTGCTGACCACCTTCCTGAAAGACTAGCTGCCATTGCTTGCTGACCACCTTCCCGAAAGACTAACTGCCATTGCATGCTGACCACCTTCCCGAAAGACTAGCTGCCATTGCTTGCTGACCACCTTCCTGAAAGACTAGCTGCCATTGCTTGCTGACCACCTTCCCGAAAGACTAGCTGCCATTGCTTGCTGACCACCTTCCCGAAAGACTAGCTGCCATTGCTTGCTGACCACCTTCATTAAAAGACTAGCTGCCATTGCTTGCTGACCACCTTCATTAAAAGACTAGCTGCCATTGCTTGCTGACCACCTTCATTAAAAGACTAGCTGCCGTTGCTGACCAGCTTGTTAGAATACTAGTTGCCTGGTTGTCCCTGGTAGCTGGTACATTCCGAGTTTGTTCCAGGTCAGTGACCAGGAAAGTACTAAAAATAGTGTTCTCCTGAAGTCTGTATAACAGGCATGCAGAGAAGCTGCTTGCAGAATTGCAGTCTCTTAAGACAGGAGTAAATCCAAACTTGTTTTTGGCTTTACTTCTCTTTTGGGCAACAGGAGTATATTTACTAATGTACTCCTGTGACCCAGAGTCAGCAGATGGTGAGCTTACACCTGCTATCAGCTGGCAGTGCACAGCTGTGCCGCAGTCGAGAATGATCCTGACAATATTCTTGGGATCCACCCCTGCTGCCTAACCGATAGCTGGCTCTGTCTTTCTGTGCTCGGATGAGAGCCTGAGCCAGCTGTGCCTATCCCCTGGCCTGTTTGTCCTCCCAGTGAGCACTGTAAGAACAGAGAGGGGAGGGGGAATCCCTGTTTGCAGCCTGCTGGGAGCAGGGTCCAAGAGGTGAATGATCAGTGGTCACATGAACGGTCAGCTCTCAGTCTTGGAGCCAGCATGCACAGATGCAGTGTTCCAACTAAAAAGATTTTTACCCTCGCTATACTTCTGCTTTAATGAGCCTGAATGGGGCCTGAAATGGAACAGTGCCCCATCGCTGGGGCCGGTGGCAGGAAAGGTGCCCCAGTGTCAGTGGTCACTGAATTAGATACTGCAAGATACTGTTACTTCTGTAAAGACTAAAGCAAAACTGTCATTTTCCTATTACTGGCAAGTTTGTTTTATTGCACCCATTACCAGCAGAATGTACTCCCCTTTCCATTGCTCTCTTGCTGGAACCTTTAGTTGCCAGGTACAAAGAAAATGCCCTGTACCCCCAATTGTGGGGTAGCACCAGCACCACTATGTGGAGGCCCTATGTAAGCTACACACAGACAGTAAACGGAACAGCACTGGATCAAAGGAAAGGTATGTTTTCACAGCTGGGGAGGGAGGTATCAGAAAACCTGCTGTTGGCCCTGTATTGGCTTATTCCCCTGGAGGCAATAAGGGGGGGGGGGCAGATCCAGACAGCTCTGACATTGGTTGCTCATTCCTCCCATGGCCTCTCATCCATTCTCCTGGAGAGGATTGCTTGTCAAAATTGTCTGGATTAGCAGATAACCACATCATGTCTTTGGCCATTTATTCAGAAAGCCTTGTCTTCTCTGTTACTGTTATCTTCAGCTCAGATCAAAATATTGGTTAACAGCTTTGGCAGCTGAAGCATTTGATGGTGACTGAGCAGTTTTTTATATACATGATTGCATCAGCCAGAATGCCAACAAGCATGTGCCCATGATCCAACTAGGGCACGAAGGGGTTTACTCAAGGCTTATGGGATTGCAGATGCAACACAGGTTGTATATTTTTTATATCAAATGATAATAAAGATACAGTACAGTTTAAACATCTGATCTGGCATGAATGCATTCACTATTCATACAATCACCAGTAACATAATTCCCTATTTACCCCGTGCCAACTGTCATGTATTCTAAGAAGACAAACCAGCAGTGTGTTGGTATGTGGACAGTAATTGGCAGAGTGTGAGCTTTTGCTTGCCTGATCTTAGTTTGCTATATCTATATTTTGCTTAAAGGGAACCTGTCAGAATTGATATATAATATTCCCCATGATCATGCACCAGGGCTGTTATCCTTAGCCAGGTCACTGACCTGAAACAAGCATTCTACCAGTGAAGTGTCTGTACACCGGACATGCACCTACAATTCCAGGTTGGTGATTTGCAAGTAGCTATTAAAGGATAAGCGTGACCACCCTTGGGCCTGCATCTAAAAAAAAAATAGCTGCTCCCATATTTGTATCCTAACACATTGCTTTTAAAGTGTTTCTCAACCTTTTTTTTTAGAAGTATGCTAAATACTTCAAATAAAGATTCCCGACCCCTTCAGATCAGAGTCACCCTTTGTATCAGGAGCCCCCACTTTCATGAGTGTCCCCCCCCCCTCCTTTCACATCAGAGTTCCCCTGTTAGATCAGGAACCCCCTTCACATCAGTCTTCATTTCCCCCTTCACATCACAGTCCCACTACCAAAACATTTTGAGGCACCCCTGAGGGGGCCAGGAGGCACACCCTGGTTGAGAATGGCTGGTTTAGAGGGTAACTCTACCATGAACTGGTAGTGCTACCCAAGAAACATTTCAACTGAGGTTAAGTTCATTCCATTTACTTTTAAAGTATAACTAAAGTCAATTTTTTTTCATTTTGGGTAGGGTAGGGAATGGTGGGAATTTATCTGTGTCCTATCGGGAAGATTTCACTTCCTGTCCTGTAAAGACTACAGGAAGTCAGAGTAAAGCTCTCCAATGTGAAGGAAGCACTTTCTACCACAGTTGTCACTGGAACAAGTGTCCCCATTGGAAGATTTACCCTCTATTCCTGTTCGGTGGCAACTCCAGATTTTGGTTTTACCTTCACTTTTTAGTCACAGTGATGGTGATCCTTAGGAGACATAGAGGGAATGAATCTCCCTAATGGAGACACAGACCGCAGTTAAAACCTGACAGGGGTGCTAAGCCTTTACCACTCTGTTTTTGGCTTTAGATGCACTTTAACCTCACTCTTGTTACTGTTAGATAATCTTGTGCTGCCAGTACATTTGGATTCTTTGATGCGCAAATTCTGCTCTGTATATGAGCCTGATAAAGTATTTGTACTGAATAGGGATGCACTGATACCGATACCAGTATCGATATCGGTGCCGATTCCGAGTATTTGGGTGAGTACTCGTACTTGCCCAAATGCTCCGATGCCTGGCACGAGTACTTCCGGTATCAGGAAGCCGGGCAGCGCGTCATTACACGCTGCCCGGTTTCCCGATCGGCCGGGAAGTGGCTCCATGCTCTCTCGTCATAAGATGACGAGGGAGCATGGACCCAGCTTCCCGGCCAATCAGAAAGCAGGGCGCCACGTCATTACACGGCGCCCTGCTACCTGATTGGCCGGCCAGAAGTCTCCGGCTTGGTACCAGAGGAAGGCCGCATTCTCGCTGGAGAGGCCCCGGGGGTGACAGGCTGCCCATACTAAGCTGAAAGGGGACAGACTTTCTTGTTAATCGGGAAGCCGGGTGGCGAGTCACTACACGCCACCTGGCTTCCTGAATGGGACTTCCGTTACTCGGTAATTGGTATCTGCGAGTAGCGGGAAAAAAAATGATCGGTACTCGGTACCAAAATACCGATATCGGTGCATCCCTAGCACTGAACACCGGCCTTATGTACATGTCCTATTTGAACCTTTTTGTTAAAGGTTTTTCTTGTTGATGACTGCAGACTTTTGAAGTGCAACTGAAGCCACAACGTTTTTGGAGGAGAGGGATTAGAACACCTGTCAGATTGCTTATTGCTGTCTGTGTCCCCATTATGGACATTCACCTCTCTGTTTTGTCCTGGTGACCATTATCAGTGAAAGTGAAATGAAATCCAAACTCTGGGTTGTCGCCAG